ATATTATATATATACGTATATATATACATATATTTATATATATATATATATATATATAAATTTTTTTTTTTTTTTGAGTCTGAGCCTCCCTCTGTTGCCCAGGCTGGAGAGCAGAGGCACACTCCCGGCCACTGCAGCCTCCATGTGCTGGACTCATACGATCTTCTGCCTCAGTCTTCCTAGCTGGAACCACAGGCGCCTGCTACCACACCTGGTTACTTTTTTGATTTATTATACAGATGAGGTCTCACCAGCTTGCCCAGGCTGGTCTCAAACCCCTGGACTCAGGCAATCCTCTCGCCTCAGCCTCCCAAAGTGCTGAGATACCACGCCCAGTCAACTATACAGTTAATGACTGCTCTCTATCATTGAGGCTGGGGGTGGTCAAGGAAAGTTTTTATGAAGGGAGAGGACTCCAAGATAGGTCTTTAATGCTGAATACCACCTAGAAAAATGTAGATGTGGAAGGACAATCCAAGTGCATGAGACAAGGAGAGCAAGTGTGGACATAGGAATAGATCAAGACACTGTGGGTAATGTTTTTTCTAGAGTAGAGGTTGTGTGAGGGGGAGGAGGGATGCCTCGGCCACCAGCCACGGAAGTGTAAGCCTGTGTCGAGACCTTGGGAACCCATGGGAGTGACCTGACCAGTGAGGTTTAAAATGTTGGCCCTGAACAAGTTCAAACAGAAAGGAGGATGAGCAGCAGGGAGAGGAACAGAGGGACAGGACCTAAACGAGGCTATGCTCAGAGGAAGGAGTTTAGATCAAGACTCAGTAGAACTTAAGCATAGTCTTAGATCTTCTACTTAAACCTAAGAATCTAAAAGAGGCCAGGTCATGTTTCTAGGCTTTGGTCCCCTCCCCTACCTTGGAAAGGTGAATCTCCACTTTCTCTCTCTCTCTACTTTACTTTCTAAATAAACTATATTTCCTAATCTAATTTTAAAAAAGAATCGAAAAGAAAAGTGGTTCCATTTTCAAAAATAGGAAAAATCTAGAAAAAGTTAGTGTTGATGGAATGATTAGTTTGGCTTTAGCCATATGGGCTTTTGGGTGGAACGCTAGCACCCAAGCAGAAACATTCATCAGGCAACTAGTAATGTAAAGAGGGTACAAAATGGTCAGGTGTCAAGATTTCTAAAGGAAACTCCGGAAGAAGAAAACAGGATGCCAGGACACAGACAATATTAAAAATCCTACACCTAGGCCAGACAAATGATTAGACTTAATTCTCTAATGTGTGTAAAGTGTTGTTGGAGCTCAAGCTCCTTCCCAGCTCCAATGCCATAGCTCACAGTAGGAACAACAGAGCCCAAGCATAATGGAGGTGATAGGAGCAAAAGTCTTCCTAAAAGCCATCACAAGAGACTGAAGTGGCCAGAGGAAGCATTAAGAAAAGAGGGGGCTATGACATGGGTCTCTAATACTAGGTGCAACCTAAATTATTTTTGCTGAAATTACTAGTTTAAAAAAAGTTGTGAAGGGATTATAACCTCATAATGCCCTATACTATGTGGGTCAAACTTGAATTGACAGCAACCTCAAATTTATTTTAAAATGTATTTATTCAGCCTGGATCGCAAAAGGATCAAAATAATACTTTTCATTTTTTAAATTCAAGTGCTCCCTTATATAGATATGCAAATGAATAATGTATTTATGGGTAAATGTTTTCATTTTCTTAAAGTCAGACATTTAACCCTTGTGTGTACATGTATGTTTGTATTTATGTATAGACATATGTTCCTACCATAATTATCTGTCTGCTTTAAGAATAGAAATGTTTACCTGTGGCTGAGTGTGGTGGCTGAAGTCTGCAATCCTAGCATTTTGGGAGGCCAATTCAAGAGGATTGCTTGAGCCCAGGAGTCTGAGACCAGACTAGACAACATAGTGAGAGCTCAGCTCTACAAAAAATAAAAAAATTAGCCAGGCGTGGTGCTGTTGCCTGTAGTCCCAGTTATCAGAAGGCTGAAGCAGAAGGATTGTCTGAGACTAGGAGGTCAAGGCTGTGGTGAGTCATGATCGTGCCACTGCACTCCAGCCTGGACAACACAGTGAGACCTCAACTCAAAAAAAAGAAAAGAAAAGAAAAGACACTGTGCCTGGCTGCTTCTTCACTTTTTATTATTTGTGGGCTGTGTGTCATCCTCCATGAGAATATTTAATTCCAGCAGGGGAGGGACCTCCTTGAGTCCCCAGGACTTGACTCTTGGCAGGTGTTCAACTATTATTTGTTGAATAAATAATGCCCTTGATGTGGTAAAAAAAAGAAAAAAGAAAAGAAAATGTTAGTTGGGTGCAGTGACTCACACCTATAATCCCAGCACTTTGGAAGGCAGAGGCGAATGGACTGTCTGAGCCCAGGGGTTTAAGACCAGCCTGGGCAACTTGGCAAGACCTTGTCTCAACAATAAATTAAAAATAAAAAAATTAGCTGGGCATGGTGGCATGTGCCTATGGTTCCAGCTACTTGGAAGGCTGAAGTGAAAGGATCATCTGAGCCCCAAAGTGGAGGCTGCAGTAGCTGTGACCGTGCCTCCAGTCTGAGGGACAGAGTAAAACTCTGACTCAAAAAATAAATAAATAAGCCAGGCTCGGTGGCTCAGCCTGTAATCCTGTGCCTTTGGGAGGCTGAGGTAAGTGGATTGCCTGAGCCCGCGTGTTCAAGACCCGCCTGGGCAACTTGGCGAGATCTCATCTCTACAATAAATAAAAAAATTAGCCGGGCGTGGTAGCACGCGCCTGTAGTTCCAGCTA